TACCACATGTACAATTATGCAAAAAGTAAATTTCACTGTCCATAGAGGAAGTTTATTGGAACATAGCCATACTTATTTTATTTATTTATCAATAACTGTTTTCATACTGCAAAGATAGCATTGAGTAATTATAAATGAGTTTATTAGTTTCATTCAAGCCTAAAATATTTACTAGTTCATCTTTACAGGAACAGTAAAGCTTGGCACACTTCCTTTGGCTATCTTTTACTTCTGACTGGTATTCTGATATCCTTGCCCAGATGCTCCACACACACGCTTCCATTTGTTTGGCACCCTCCTCTGACATATCTTCATTAACTTGAGTGACTCCTCATCTAATAGATCCTAACTCAACCTTCATTTCTTGGAGGAAACTGTTTCATAGTCTTCCAGTTAGGGTTAGACACTCTTCCTCTCCTTTATTTTCTTTATTCTTCTACTTATTTCTATGCCCTAACTTCCTCCTTACCTACTTGAAACTTCCTGGTTGGTCATTATCTATTGTACTATGCATATATATTCACTGTCTTCTTCCCTCGTTCCTTCAATGTTCTGTCTTAGTTTTCTCAAGGGCAACTGTCAGGCAGGCTCTTAGCAGTAGAATGTATCGGGTGGGAAACATAACAACACTACACTGTCTCACTTTAACTATATAACCTCAGGCTCCAAGGGTCCTGGCACTGACCTAAGTCCTGCAGTTTCTCGTAGCCTATCCAACTATCCACTCCACCCCCTGAAAAAAGCTATTTAGTTGATTCCAACCTATTCATTAGCAAACCCCAAATCTGACCACTCTCATTTTCTGAGCAGACTAGTGTTCATTCTCACACCTTGAAATGTCCTTCTTCACTCTTATTTCACTTAGAAAATAACTTCCTTTTCCCCCTCACAACATCTGTCAAACTCCCTGCTTCTGAATTGTAGCTTCAGTGTTCTCTCTCTCTTTCTGGGAGAGAAGCTGGGTATGTCCTTTTATAAGGCCAGCCTAGTTCTTGTAAATTAAAGCTCATCTATTTGTACTTACAAGAAGATATGCCTCCAGATAGCCTTCTTACTCTCTCCTGTCCTAATATTTTGTTTCTTCTAGATCATTCTCATCAGCGTACCAGCATACTGTTAGATGTACCTTTAAAAGAGACGTCAAAGACCTCTCTTTACCGCGCGCTTCTCTCGTTCTTTCTGCTTTTCCTTTGGTTCTCTGTTCTACTCACGGTTGTTTTCTTGTTGTTGGTTAGACACTCCAAGCTTACTTCTGCTTCTTTTCCTGGAATAAATTTCTTCCTCCTTGGCGTAGCTTAAGGAGCACTGGTAGCACTGTAAGATAAGCATTGAGCTGCTAATTGCAAGGTTGGCAGTTCAAACCTACCAGTTGCGTGTTCCTTGGACTGGTGAGCCAGTCTGCTCCAGTAAAGTCTACAACTTCGGAAACTCTATATAGGGTCATTATGAGTTGTAATTGACTCAGTGCCAGTGGATTTTTTTGATTGCAAGAACTATTTATGCAGAACTTATCAATGTATTATAGTACATTTATGCAACTCTTGTGCTTCCTAGAATTTAAGCTTCTGAGGTCAGACATCAAATTGATTCATTATTAACTTCATCATGCACCTTCTACAAAAACTAAGAAAGTAGGCAGAATCCTTTGTTCATGGTGATTATTTTTGTTAAGATTTAAATACAAAAAAAAAAAGATTTAAATACAAATACATGTGGTCCTTTATAAGTCACAAATGATAGGAAAAATTTGGAAAATATTTTAATTTGTTTCCTTGTTTAAAATTTCTAGTTCTCGAGGGATTACATTGGAGCTTCTTCTTTTTTTTAAGGTTCACAAAAAGGATTCTGGCTTTTGGCGCGATTTTGGCTTTGGGATGACTTGCCAGTATCGATCAGATTTCCTGACCGTTGGTAAGTATAGCTTATATTTAAGGATGCGATCTTACATGCTTGTTCTGGCACCTACATGTCATTCTTTTCAAACAAAGATCTCAGATGTGAGCATTTTCATAGTG